TTGCTGATTGAAGCTGTTTATCCAAAGGGGCCCTGAGTACCTTGAAAAGCCTCTAAAGAAGTAAGCAGGTGGCAAAAGGAGATGAAGAAGGGGTGAAGAGGAAAAACGTAAAAGGATTGAGGTTGAGCCAGGAAGAGAGGAGTGTCTGGTAGTGCTGTCAGGGCCTACGGAGAGCTGCCTGATAGGAAGTTGTTTATCAGGGCCAGGGAGATTGGCTCAGTGGAATAAGTGCTTCCCTGGCAAGTGCAAGGGCCTGAGTTCAATCCCCAGTTTCGCAAAAAAAAAAAAAAAAAGAAGTTGTTTATCATTGCTGTCCAAGAAGAACAAAGGAAATGGGTTAAAGCAGAATTTAGATAAGGAAGAGGTTTTCTAAAATTAAAGAAGTTGGCCTCTGGTGCAGGGTAATAGGAGAGGCTTCCTATTTGGGACTGTTAAAAATGGTTTGAGCCCATGGACAGAGCAAAAGTGGTCAGCTGTCCCCCCTCAGAGGCGAGGAATGGAAACCCAGGTGCAAAGATGCAAGCTGGAGGGTACGATTTGGAGCACAAATATTTAAAGGTGAGGAACTCCCAAGTTCAAATTTGGCACAAATCAAAGAACTTGGGTGCCAGGTGGAACTGGTTTTTTTCCACTGTTAACCTGGCAGAACTTTCTTATCTGAGCAGCTGAGCAGGTTTGATGTTTTTATGAAGCGAGATAGAAGAAAAATATAGGCCAGCTTGAGGGTGATGACCACAGGAAAACAAAAGGTGTGGTATTTGTGGACATAGTTGTGTGATTAATAGAACCAAGAGGGAGGGGAAGGGAGAATGGGGCTTTGACCAGCCCGCTGTTTCACAGTACCTTCAAATGCTGTTAGGTGGCCAGTAAAAAGTGAAAGTAGATAAAAAGGAACAGGACTGGTTTTAGGCTGGAGTCCTAGTAACGTGCTAGCTTTTGAATGGAAAAACTTGCTCTATTCCGGGCAAATACATTTATCTCTGTATTTCCCCAGCACCTCCGGAGTGAAAAATGACAGAAGGGATTTGTTGTGCTAGCTGAAGGGCAGTGCGGCCCTCTAACTTTCTTTGGGGAGTTGGGTTGGGGCCAAGAGGTGCACGTCCAAGGGTTGGGTCTGCTGAATTCCAGGCCAGTGACTCACACTGGCTGCCAGCGTGACCCCAGCATGTCCCCGCGCAGTGCAACACACCTAGACCATTTGCTTTCAGCTGCTGGCAGAAGTCTGCTGGTTTCTAAATTGCTTCTCCCTGCCAGCAATGGCCTCCTTGTGATTCAGAAAGAAATCTTCTGACTCACAGGCCCTGCGACTAGGCCCTCTTCCTGGGCTGCAGAGTGTTGCCTTGTCAAGCACTCTCCCTGCCCCCAGACTGTGGCTGTGGTTCTACATAATCCAGCCTACAGACATCAAGGTCAGAGCAAGGCTTTTTGTACTGTGCTATGGAAACATCCTGTTCTAGCAGATTCATTTGGCCCAGGGCACTGAAATCACTTTGTCTGCCTGCCTTTCTCGCACTATCATCTTCTCCTCAACCCCCTCCCCACCCATCCCCCATCCCCACAAAAACTTACTGTCCAAGTTCAGGTACTAAGAAACTCTTGTTCCAGCATCCCCTTTTGATTGATGTCTGGGTGACACCCCTCCCCCAAGATGGTAGCACACCTCTGTGTTTACACTTTGCTAACAGTTCCTCTTGTCCCTTCTGGAAATGTCAATGACCTTTTTGTGATAGGTTCGGAACCTGTTTTTCTAATGTAAACATAACAGGTTCTGCCATTCCTGTGACTGATTCGATTCCTTCCTTCCTCCACTGCTGCATCCTGGAGCCACATTCTTCCGGATCCGTCCATGTCACCCGCCCGCATGACCTCTCTCACTGAGTGAGCAGTGCCCGTGCTGGTTTCCCAGGTCCTTGGAAACGCCTGTGGTCAGAGACAAGGACCTGTAATTTCTGCATTCCCTGAAGTGCCTGCCATAAGGGCTCTTGTTTTGGCAGAATAAAAATGTAGTAGTAAGAGGTGAGGGAGAAAGGGCCCGGGAAATGGCTCAGTAGAAAGGTCCTGAATTCAAGCCCTGATTCCACAAAAAATTAAATGAATAAAAAAGAGGTAAGGGAGAGAACCAAGATCTTAGGGACAGTGAGGTAATTCTGACCCGGCTTCAGGGTGGAAAGGGAAGGACCTTGGGTCACGGTGACAAAGAGCAATGGGAAGAGTATAAAAGCAGACTGGATAGGGTGTGGTGTGCACACCTGTAATCCTGGCCCTTGGGAGGCTAAGGCAAGAGGATCACTTCAAGTTCAAGGTCGATCTGAAGTAAAAAGCAAGGCCCTGTCTCAAAAAAAAAAAAAAAGCTGCAATTAAAAGCCAAACCAAACCAAACTGAGCCATTAGCAGGAGGAGCCTTGGGAGAGAGAACACAGGAGTATCTGCAAAGG